CGTTATTTTCGAAGCAAAAACTTCTTTCCAAGATGAAAAAAATCAATTTAAAATTTAGAAAAACTGACCACAGATTTTGATTCTTAGATTTCGGTTACCTGTAGACACACTCTATCGGATAGCATTATTTTCAAAAAAACCATATCCTGACGAAGAAATGAAATTGAAAATATTGAAAAACTGAATACATCCTAGATGGATATATATTGGTATGTCATTATTCGTATCTTACAAGAAACGGTTGCCAGTAGAACTGTTACCAATTAGACTGATTATCGTCGTCCATCCATGCTTACATCATTCTGGACCATACATTTTTGTCAAAAAAAAGGTTTACTTGTAATACTGACAAATTGTCCATTATCCGATGCAGCTTTTCGTTCTGATTCCAAATATGTGGTTACTTTTGTTTTAAAGTGCTTTTGAGAAAAAAAACTGACAACACCAAAAAGCAAAGGGCATTTTGTGTATGGATCTTTGGTATCTTCACATTCACACCCACTACCCACACCCATAATTAGTTGACTTAGTACAACTCCATATTTTATTATTAATAATATTGGTGAAAAAAACTGTTAATCAATATCGTTGAGACCAAGATTTTCATCGACAGTATAATCGACAATATGTTGATCGTATTCATACATTTTGACTATTGTTTATTCTGCTGTATCGTTCAATATCAGTTAAAATACGTTTACTTCATTGCTTACCTTTTTTCGCTTTAATTGACATAGATAAAGATCAAGTCGAAGAAAAACGTAAAAAAATAATCCGATGATCTTTGTTGTAGATCATTATGCAATAAAAAAATTTTATCAACACTTGACTTATTATCATTATATATTTTATTTGAATTATTAATAGCTTTTGAATAGCTTTTGATATGTTTGAAGGTTTTAAATTGATTGCTTTGAAAACAAAGCTACTCTGTGATGTGTTCATAGCAAATTTTCGATCACTACGAGTATTTTTAAATCGTCAATAAAGATCTACAAAATTGCACAATTTTCAGATGCTTAGAATTAATCATCAGGAATTATAGGTATTCTAGTCGAAGCTCTAAATGATTTTTCTTGGCATTTCTGTGAAAGTTTTTCTGTTGTTTCCTTTTTAATAATAAAACTTTTTTCCACATTCAGAAAATTGATGAAATAAATTTGAAACCACAAACAAGGCAAACATGTAATATACGATTTGATGTATCTGTTTTTTCTCTTTCGAACGATGAAAGTCACAGCTCTCTATGTTGTTTCTATTAAAAGTTCTTCAAAATATATTCACTCGACCTTTTTTTCCATCAACATTAGTATAACTATCACATATGATAGAAAAATAGGTGTTATCGATATTTTATTATTATGATATTACTTGACGAATGACGTAATAGTATAGCAAAATAGAGTGCCATTTCCACTATCAGCTTATTTAGAGAAAAAGTGTCTTCAAGCTTTTTATAAAGAATTAAAGTACCATAACCACGTCTTATGGATAGCCATAACGTAAGTATTTAACACTAATCATCATCGTAAGACTCTCTAATACGATTCAAATCCTTATCGACAAGTTCTGAACTCAATTTTAACCATTCTGCCATGGATTCTGTATGCAATTTCCATTCAGGTATATTGAGAATTTGAAGATAAATTCGACCTGTTCGAACACTTAATATATATTCCTAAAATACATACAACAATTAATCATTGAATAAATATCATCAAGATGTTTTCACCTCACAATAATCATCCATTCCTTGACCAATAACAATTAATTCCGATGATAATTTATGAAATGCTTTGTTCTTTTTTAAATCCTTGTTCTTTCGGTAGGCAGCCAAATGATTTCGAGCATCATCTTGCAATGATTTGACAGCACATGATCCGTCATCATTTAACTCTTCAAATAATTCAGATGCCCAATCACGTTCTTCAAAAGGAACCCATTGACTCAGTGGAAGCAGATCTGTCGATGCCAGACGCAAACAAAGTCCATAACCAATCTTGTTGTGACCATTATGAACACGTATGGCTTGTTTGACATCATCTGGTAATTGAATTCGATGACGTTGTTCAAATTGTTTAATATCATCGTCACTCGCACCAGGATTATTGTTTTGATAACGTGAAAATGATGATAATTTATCATTCAATGTTTGCCAGAGATCAACATATATCTTATTTAGATCATTACTCTCTACAATAAAAAAAAAACAGTCCATAATTTAAACAATCTACAATATAATCATATACTGGAATTTTTGGTGGATAATATCGGTTTGTTTTCTTGTTTGGATGATGATAGATTTTCCTCGACGCGCTTCTTTTTGGCAGTGATTCGTGAAGATGATCGAGTTGCTTGCCGTTTTTGAATCTTTTTTTTCTTGTCGGACATATAGACAACGAACAAATGTATATCAAACAAAATCTAATCGATTGGTTTACTCGCACAAAATTCCAGTAGATATTACACAAATCAAACAAAATAAAGAATAAAAATATGATGCGACATTTTGCATGGGATAAAAAAAAAGAAAAAGAAAAACACAGACTTATTCAGCACATGTTTTTTGCTATTCAATAATTCGAAAAAAAAACAAAATAGCATATAACAACAGAAATGGTAAGAAACGAGCAAGCTCGTTTGTATGCGAACCAAACAGGAAAAAATACGTCCAGACTCATACTGCTGTATACAAGCAAAAGAACAGAAGAAAAAAAAGAAGAGAACACAAATGTTTACGATACTAGAAGCATGGAAAGGCGCAGTTTGCATCAAGTTGTTTTGTCAATTCTACTGTCGTACATTTGGCCATGGGACTCACATTCCCTAATATATCTAAAATTGAGTGTAGATGCTCATTATCACAAAACAGAGAACAAGATCCATATCAAACATTCTTGAATATGATGAAGGCATTAAAATTGTTAAGCTATAAATAGAGAAGACAATGCATGATCACTAACGATTATAAAGATTTTCCTGCTGGTTTATTAAGCATTTTGTTCAAAATTTGCAAAGTAAATTTATAGCACACAACATTTTCAAAACGGCAACTTCGCAATGTTTCATGATGCATCTCCTACAAGTAAATCATCCATATAGAGGACATATCAGTGATTCACTATACCAAACATGAAATATTGTATAAAGCTCGAAAAACAAAAATTCAACAATAGAGATCTGAAAATAAAAGTATCGAATGGAATAGAATTTCGAACAATCCAAAAGGATATGAATTTTCTGTTAATCTTCACTTAATACTCTCAATAATCAAAATAAAATATTATCGCGCTTTGCAATCATATTGATGTCATATACTACAAATTGTTCGAGTGTTGTATGTTTTTGAGTTTGTCATATCTAACAAAAAATCAGCATATTTAAATAAATTGGCTCGTTCTAGAAAATTTTAAAAATCAGACTTCTAGAGAATCATGAGAATCTGTCGAAACCGAACATTTCCAAGTAGACAGGGAAGTAAAAAAAAAAGTAACTTTTTTTTTCTTGGATGTGCTTTATGAAAGATTTCAAATATGAAATAAGAAAATTTAAGGATAAATACAAGTCAAGATTTGACCTGAGTAACGAACTTCATAATAAAATTAAATTAAAAAATCAGAAAAAATAATAAATCTGCTTTGAAGAAATGAATAATAAATATTGAAATAGTCTATAGTAGAGATATATTCTGATTAAAATAATTTTAAATTCATAGAACCTCATAACCAGTTTTATACAAACTTGACTATAGTTGAAATAATACATGCAAACGAGTTCTTTTATTTTTTGTCTTTCTTTCTGCATTCTGTTTATGTTGCATAAAGTAGTAAACAAAAGTAACTATCGTTCTCGTTTTTTTTCTCTGCCAGAAATCATTATAATGACTTTTTTTCAACGTCGACAAATCTTTCATAAAATAAATATAGAAAGAGTGGCGTTACAAGTATGTAAAAAAACATATCAGCTTGGGTTCATTTTAAAGCGATTTTTTTCTCTATTCAAGAAATTAATGCACATTGTTTTCAAATCTGAAAACAAAACATGAAAATTGAGCTTCTTTTTCCATTGTTTTATTTATAGATAGTTAATTAAAACAATGATTAACTAATCGTTTTATTTAAAATTTCTTTTTGTTTTTTGATTGTCTGAAATGATTTTAAATTCAACCGAAATATCTTGTTAGTACGATAACTAAATTAGAAAAAAATACAATTAATATTAATTGGATATAAAAATTTGATTGGCTTGAAATGTGGTGATTCTGAAACATTTTATCGATTGATAAGTCTTGTAATTTTGCATCTATTGAATTTCATTTTGAGTATTCTATCCAAACTCGACATTTTTACGATTTTGCCATCTTAGTTTTTTTTTTCGAGAATGACATAGATTAGTTCTGAGGAGATTTTCTAATATCCTTGAAGAAGTGTTTAGAAAACAAAATTTGGAGTAAAATTATCGACTAATTCATAAACAATAATCCTATTGACTATGAATTCTTTACCTAAGTGGTGGAAATAAGTTTAATCAATTCAGTTTTTTCAATACCATTAAGTACTTAGCTGGTATTCAGATCGTGATTTTAATACTAAATGAAGTTTTATATCTGATGCATTCTATACCAAGATTCGCTACTTTTAAGAAAGTCTTAGAGAATGTAGTCACGTCACAGTTTGTGTTCTTGACGCTGATTTTGTTAAAGAATAGTTCAAACAAAGTTTTCTAAGATCTGAAGATTATTATAATTATATATCTATGAAACCTCAGCAGGGCGTGCATTAAACAGAAAAGCCTGTTAACTTCGAAAAACATTATCTAAATTTGAAGTAGATACTTAACATCATAGAAAAAAAATGTTGTCATTAGACTATTTTTACCATTTACAGTTCATCTATGAACAACTTTTATTACAAAAACATATTATGAGGACGAGATTTTGACATAAAAAATAATTGCAAATGAAAAATTCATTTGTTTTAAATATAGAGACATCAATTATTATGTTACCAAGTTCAATATATATTGAAAAAAGTCTATCAAGTATTGTAAGCGGATTACAAGAAGAATTATCCAATACTCAAACATCCGTAGTTAAAAAAAATCGTCTTATTCTTCAACAATTAACAAAGTTCGTAGCCGAATTGAATTGTGATTTTTTTCATGAGAAATTAAAAGATCGTTTAAAAGATAATATTAATTTTTTACATTTTATACCAATATCATCGAATCCTTTAACCGATGATTGGGGACGTTGTACATATTTTTTTGCAATCATTGGAACATTTAAATTATTAATTTATCAACCAGGTACACCAACATTTACAAGTAGTGTTGAAAAAGATAGTGATTTAGTTGCAATTCATGATAATTGTCAACAAAATGGAGCTATTCTTGGTATGGGATGTGCATCTTTTTTAGCTGATTTTGTTACATATTTATGTTGTTTATATCAAGAAAATTGTTCTAAAATGAAATTAGATTCATCAAATTTTCATCCAATTGCATATAAAATCTCATTAGAAACATGTTTACAAAAATTTGTTGATGAAGATCGAGATGCTCATGGACGATTAATTGAAATGAAAGATCTTTTATTAAATCTTGGTGGTAAAAATGAAATAAAATATGAATCATTTCAACCTTATTTTTATGCCAAAGATATTGAAGTTTTACGTGGAGAAAAACCAAATTTAACTCCAAATTTTTATAAACAACTTTCCAATGGAGAATTTACATCTATTTTAGAAAAACGTGATTATTGTCGTACATATCAACGTATTGAAAATTATTTTGATGATAATTCATCAAGTATTGAACAAGGTTTACATTTTCTTAAATCAGAACCATGGAAAATTATTCATGATACATTAATGAATAAAAATGGAATATTTAAAGATTCAATATTAGCAAGACGTTGGTTAACTATAACTTTTGATGTATTTGAACAACAACTAACGTCAAATACTTCAGTATCTCCAAGTATAATATCTACTACTAATGTTCCATATGATATTGAAAAACTAGAACGTGATTATGATTTATTAAGAAATGAAAAATTAATGGAATATTTTACGCAAGTCCAACGTGGTCTTCAAAGTTTATTTCAATCAGCTGTTATAGCAGATGCTGATATATTTGCTATTCGTACACCTGATTTAAGTAAAAATATTCAAGTCATAGCCGATTTAGTTCCGGAAGCAAAAACTATTTTACAAAAAGTATCACATATTATTGAATCAATTAATCAAAAAGGAATAGAGAAAAAATTAAATAACTTATGTAATTTATGTGTACGTTTTCCATGTTTACCTGAATTACTTGCAAGAAAAATTACTATTATGAAAAGAGATTATATTATGAATTTAAAAGATACGGATACCATTGGTTTATGTTCAAAACTTGATACACTTGTTAAAGGAAATAATCGTTCAAAAAATTGGTCTATTCAACAAAGACTAGCTGTTCGTGATACAAAAATAATAGAAGCATGTTGTATTCAACTTATATGTCAAGATGATATTAATCCATTAAGAGCAACACATGTAGATGATATTGCTAATAAAATAAGTAGTGCATTTAAAAATACACAATTAAGTGTACAAATATCGAAAGACTTAACAATTAATGAACAACCAAATATTTTTCAACGACGAGAACCATTTACAATACCAAATTCATTTTTTGAACAGCATACTAATCATAAATTTATGAAACGTATGGCTAATAATGAAGATTCTATAGCATATCGTGATCGAGTCAAACAATATTTGATGGAATTAAGTTCTGAAAAAATACAAGATTTATTAGGTTCTATTGATCCATCGGATAGTCAACTTAATCCACTTTTTATTTTACTTTTGGAAGTCAAAAAAGAGAAGAAAAATGCTTGTACTATATCATAAAAATGTACCTATCCTATATATTATTCTGTAAAAATCGCATTTAATTATATTTCAAGCTGTTTTATTTACTTTTCTTATAACACAAGAGAAGAAGTTGTGAAGATAATGTTTCATATCGATGTAATTAGAATAATTATCTTTCAATTTATTTTTACAGTGACTGAACGAGAAATTGCTTATGAAAAATGAGATGTTTTTTGTTTGGGAAAGAGAATTAGCTAGATTATCATGCTTTTAGTAATGTTCACTTATTGTAAAAGCTAACTTAAATTTCTTTGAATACTGTTCTTTTTTTAATATGTTGTCAAACTCTGTTGTAAAGATTTTTTTGTTTGACAATCAAATGCTTCAGATATTCTTTGGTTTTTCGTCAGCATTATTTTGGTCATAAAAAGAGGAACATTTGGGTGTAGTTCTGGCTGTGTTTGCTGAAGATAACACACACCTACACCCACATTCCTGCCTGACTGGCAAGTTATCCAACCACAAGGACATGGCTCTCCCCTACGTTATTTTTGGCTCGTTAGAAGAACTTGTTGTGTTACACAGTGTGAATCTATATCGATGATTATCTTGTTTATGTGTCATTCATATAATTGCAACCAGAAAAATCTATGCTCTGATCTTGATTTATTGAAGTTTCGCAGAATATCATCAGACGCCTTATTTCGTTCTGATTAGTATTTTCAATAATATGTAGTACTTAAACAAATGTTGAAAGTTAGATACCATCGAGACATAACAGAGCTGGAATTGTTTGAGTTGAAACAGACAGGTCTCGCCTATGAAAATGATCAAAGTCAATAAAATGGCAGAGGAAATCTCAACTCTTGACATTTTAGATCACGAAAAAAAAAGACTATAGAGTGCTTTTTGCATGCCTTAATAAGCTTTACAACTTCAGTTTATTCCTGACTCAAATAAATGTATTGTTGTCAACGTATATCGGAAACAAGACATTGGCTAACTTCGGCTATGTGATAGTGCCCTTTGAGTGTACATTATTTCGACATAGCTCGTATAAAATGACTCGAAACCCTGGCTGCAGATCATATTCATCACTAAAAAGAAGAACAAGCGTGTTTTATAAAGAAATAACACAGCTTTTACTCAACGATTCTCAACATCATTCTCAGAAGATTGTCATACGTGTTACGTTACCAGCCATTTTTGGGTATTTTGTTAGTTTTTAAATAGCTTCGAATTTTACATGACTCGATGTAGTTCTAAGAAATCAACAAACTGAACGAAAACAATTTTTTGAAGTTTAATAACTGCGTCTACAATCATTATTGTAATAGAAAAGTGACATATTTTTTGCGCCAAACTGGTCATCTTCAATTCCATCTTCCTTTGTGCCAGACTTTATGGAAGATTTCAGAAATTTCTGATTTTGTGAAGAATTTCTAGAACTAGCGAATGAAATATGAACTAACCGAATCAGTTGAATTGTTAATAAGAAAAATGAAAAATACATATTGTCTTCAAATTTTGAGTAAAAATATTGTTTATCGCTGAGAACAAAAAAGTATCATAGTAATAGAAATTTTATTGTAAAACTTGACGGAAAAAAAAACTGAGATTCGTCAGTAAAATTGAGTGCTCTGTCTACCTAGATAGTCAAAATCAAAAAACTCCTAGTCTCGCTCGAGTACTATGAACACTATGCAGCTTTCTCACGAAATCTCTCTTAAGACTGTTACATGATGTACGAATACACCACAAACATGTTAATGATGAAAAATATTCTGCTGGTTTGTTCGTTATCTGTAGTCAAGTGTACATAAGACAGGTAAACATGCAAGAACATACGACTATAATAAATTAAACGAGCAGTATGCTACGGTTATATTAGTCATTTTGTTACCATTCTATTAAATGAATATGTTTTGTCCAAATGTGTTAGTCACTCTGAAACATTTTAAATACTTGGATCAACATGGGTGTGTATTTTTTTTGGTTTTGTTGAAAAGTTTCAAATAAATAATAAACTCAATTAAAACAAAAGTTATTTAACTAAATTAAACGCAACTTCTCGCTCGAAATTCAATACTGTAATCAGCTGAATTTATCATACGTTAAAGTTTGTTTTCGATTGCATGATATATAAACTTCTGTCCTCATTGGATGTTCGGATGAATTTTTATTCATACTATAGTTCTCGAAATTATCACTTTTAACTCATGGAACTGCAACTGTTTAAGATTTCAGGAATAAGATTTTGTTGAGAAAATGAATATCTACAAATCTACCTGCTTTTTAAAAGTTCACACGATTCTTGATACCCAAATAGAGACAATACACGGAAAACAATAATCATCGGATATCCATATTGGATTTAACCATGTCAACTTTGCGTCGCATAATATTCATTTAGCTAGAATAGCGTTCATGTCCAAAGGTCCGCCGTCTCCCCCTTGATTATGTGTCAGGATTGGCTGAAGATTAGTGGAAAAAATTGTGTCTAAAACTTTTTGATCATAGGAGTCTGGAATGATTTGCAAAACACTCATTTTCCGGCTCTTTTTTCGACTTTTTCTGCATACCAACATAACACAAAGTAGTTGACTGTAGAGAAAACAATGCGCTCTTTCGAGTGATATATCATGAAGAAAATTTTAAAATTTATATGCGCGCCTAAAAAAACACGAAAAAAAGTGGAAGAATGATTTTGACGGCTACTATATATATCAATAGTTCGATAGTTAAGAACGGATAAGTTTACGACACGTACTTCATCTGCTTATTGTAACTATGTAGACTATTTTATATAGGATTAGTAATTATATGTTAATAAGCAATATCCATGATAGAAGTAAAAGAGATAAGACACTTGTTGAGAGATAACAATAGGTAACCAGACAAAATACCCTGTATAACGTAAGATACATATAAAAAGAGAACGAATATGGAAAAAAAATACATAAGACAAGTGACAAAATATATATTAAACATGTGACTCTATAAATTTCGTAACACTTTTTCTTTCACTCTTCATCATTATTGTTTGTTTTAATATTTTTTTCTCGTTCGGTCAGTTGAGAGAATGGAGAGTAAATATGAAAACAAAATGCATGCACTTTACAGTTTACACAAACATGTAAGAAACTGTATCAGTAGCAATAAAAATTCTGATTTCTTTTACATGCTTAATAGTAAGTATATTATAGAAGTCCGTCAGTTCAATTTTTATTATTTTGATGTCGATTTCTTAGAAGTTTCAGAAGAAATAAACTTATTTTACATCATCTTTTTCTTAACCTGATCTCAAGATCAAACTATTTGTTGAATCTGAGCAGAATCACATATAGCTCAACTAAAGACAATTTTGGTATATATATACAAAATTTTAGGCCATCCACGTATGTTAATTTCAGAAAATATATATTTAGTTTTTCTGATTTCAGATATATATATATATATATCATATCTATTTCGATTCATTGACGCTCAATAACCACACAGCGAAGAAAATCATGAGTTTAGAATTACTACCCAACGAATTGTTACTTCAAGTATTCGAATATCTTGATGAAGTTCAAATTTTTCATGCCTTCGCCGGTCTCAATCCTCGTTTTGATTCTCTGTTTCTCACTCATGATCGACATTATCATTTCAACTTTCGATCGGCTTGTAGAAATGATTTCCAAATAATCTTCGAGAAATATGTACCATTGATTATTGATCGAATTAGTTTTATTTGTTTCTCGAACGATGATGAGACACCACAACAAATTGAAAATTTTCTTGATCAAAATATTCCTCTTCGTCTATTCTCGAATTTGCGATCACTTTCGTTAAGTCACCTTTGTTCATATAAAAAAATGAATGAAATAATTAAAGAATGTCATTATCTTCCTCATCTTACTCGTCTAAATTTCACTCAATGTTATATGGAACAAAGTATCGATCATTATCGCTCACTTGTAAATAGAATTTGCTCTCTACCTAAATTAAACCATTGTCATCTTGGTATCTATTCTCTTACAATTGGTTATTTTTTTCCAGAACTAACAGTAACTTCATTGTCTATAGATCATCTGTCTGTCCAATATGTTGATTTTCGCTTTAGTGCATTGTCTCAATTGATCAAACACACACCTCGCATTCAATATCTATCTATATCAATGAATGATCGTTCAATTGATCGCGATCTCTCATTGACTTTTCCGTCAATAATTTCATTGAAACTCGATGTTCGTGATGCACCATTTATTTTCACAAGACTTTTGCGATGCATGCCTAATTTACAACACTTAACAATCAACTCATTGGATACTTATTTCGGTAATTTAAAAAACATTTTGGCGGGTCGAGTTGATGATCTTGATATCCATGTTCATAACTTTTATAGAGGTAAACCCTCCATTTATATGAATGGATCCAAATGGGAAGAAATTATTGTTAAACATTTACCACAACTTAAAACATTTCAACTGAAAATGAAAATTCAATATTGGTCTAGGAACAATAAGGAAGATGACATTGATAAACTAATTACTTCATTTGGAAATCACTTTTGGATTAGAGAACGTCAATGGTTTGTTCGTTGTGATTGGAATCCCGAGCCAACATCATCTTACATATGTCTCTACACTTTGCCTTATGCCTTTGATCATTTTGATACTCATACCGCTCTTATTCGGTCTAAATCGACTTCTCCCAAGGAAAATGATTATTGGCTCTATGATCATGTGCGAAATCTGCATTATGACTACTCGTTAACCAATAATTCGGCGTTGAGTCGTGCTTGCTTTTCTAAAATTCATTATCTTTCCATTGAACTTCCATCCAGTGGCAATATATGGCCTACCCTGTCAACATTTATTCACCTGAATTAACTTGATGTATTCATTCTTAATGATGAACTTAATGCTTACAATCAACTACAAATGTTTCTTGATCGAGCACCGAATCTTTATTCATTAAAACTCACCTGTAGTAAACTCTCACTTCCAGAATTGGCATTATTCAAAAACAGTAGCGTATCGGTTCGTCGTCTTGATTTATATGGATATACCAAACATAAAGATTGGCAATGGTTTAATAGGCAACAATGTATTGTATTATGTAATTCTCCTTTGGGTATTCACTGTGAAGTTCTTCGAATTAAAGTTGAACATCCGATGGATGTACTAGAACTTGTCTATTCAATGCCGCACCTGCGAGCATTGAATGTTCAGATTATGGACGATGAACATAATGTACCGGGTTTTAAACCACATCCAACAGACGATGAACTTCTTCAATTTTTGCAACATTCTCTAGATTACACTTGTATTGTTACAAGAAATCAATTTGATTCTCGTAACATTCAATTGTGGATTCGCTGAGAACGATGTCTAAAGATTCTAATGTAACAAAATCGAATCTATTTTATCATTTTTTTAACCACTCGTTCAAAGTGTTAATTAAATTCATGTTTTTTTTCCTTAGAATATCTTATCGACTTGAGGGTGTGGATGTGGGTGGGTGTGAGTGTGGGTGGGTGTGAGTGTGGGTGGGTGTGGATGTGGGTGTGGGTGTTACATGTTTTCACACATCCAACACGCCGACATCCACACCAACACCCATTTGATTTTATCTTGTCTTCCCGAACAAATTACACATATAAATCTTGAAAAAAATTCAAACGTATTTTAATATATAGCTGACAACATTTTTCGAATGAATAGTACAGCAATTGGTAAACAACAAAAATGGCAAAAACAATCATTGTACTATTTATGTTTCAGCGGATTCGTCTCAAGAGATGACGTGAAAAAATTCGTAGTTGTGCAATAATATTTATAATTCTATTTCAGTTGAAAGAGAAAATTCATGATTCATCCGAAGGAAGTGCATGACTGCAGGTCATCCTAGGAAAATGAACAGGCGGCTTCCTAGGAATTAAATATTCATCGAAGTATATATAAATATTTAATGGATTGCTACACCAGAAAAACACTTGCAATCAAAATTAAACATGGCATATCTTCAGCATAACCAATACGGTTTTAAAGACACGTCAGTCAATGTTAATGTTCCAAATAACGACGTAGCCCGTCTCATGTATTATTTAAATTGTGTATGCAGTGCTATTCAGTATAATGATTCAGATCTTAGCCGCTTTCGAAATTATCGGAACTGGTCATCTTTATCTTCTGAAGATATACGTCTTCTATTGGTTCTTTGTTTAACTCTGCGCCCCGATCTATTGGACGATAAAGTTTTTTTTCATTCAGATGCTTTATGTGGTGATAGTTCCAATAAATTTTTTGAAATTAGTCAAGTACGTAATCAACTATTGGCTGTACAATCAATTGTTATTGCTGGTAGAACATGTCAGGTCACCAAAATTATGACATATAAGATGTCTTGGATGCAGAATAATTACCTAAATCCACTTCAGCGACTCACTCAACAATACAGACCCAGAACAACACGTACATCGACTTGTATTATATCATAAAGAATCGACGAGCGTCTATGGAAAACAGAACTAAAACGGAAAAATTTAATCTTATGTCCTGGATAATTTCTTCTCGTAATATCCACAAAGTGTTTAAATAAAGAATGTTTCATAACTTTTTTTTTCCATTTCCATTGTTTTCCATCTTTTTGGAGTTTCGAAAAATCGGTCGATATTCAAAAGAAATCTTTCAGAAAAAGGTATGGGTGAGGGTGTGGATCTGAATGTGGATATGTTAGTTTCTTCAACAATACCCACATCCACACCCACACCCATACCCACACACCCACACCCCCACATCCACACTCTATTCGCATGGTTGACTATGTTCTGTGTGTGGATGCACGTGAGCGTCGAATGCAAGTAGACATGACACTATTATCGTTAGTTCAAATGATGATGACGAGCGGCAGGTGACTAAAACTACTAAGAGTCCGTTTAATTTCTCTACTCCGGAAATTTGTCATTTTCTCTATATAATGAGTCGTATCGACAGATCGTCAGAAATAATTGTTAGAGAGCTACATCAAGTAGCCTGTGTATCTTTGCTGCTATTGAGGTAGGTGTCATCCAGAGACTGTATACTAATTGAATTGTCGGTCGAGTGTTATCACTTGTTAGAGGAAGAGGTCGTTTGATTCTTTTTCTTCTATTGTTGTATGTGCGCGCGCGCGTGACTTGATTACATTCAAGGACCTTTCCTAGGCATCATCGTTTCTCTCTCATCTTTTTACGTATGGTATTTTTTTTGAAGTCTATTTATCAACAACATTTATTTCAAATTTAAATAACCATATGTCAAGATTATGACTTCTCTGCTTTTCTGCTTCAAAAATACTTTTAGTTTACTATTCTCTGTCTTATTTTCATTCGTTTTTGATAACATTATAGTTGATAAATACGCCATAGTACATCAAATTAGGTGGACCTTGAAACTTGAGACCAATCTCATAGTTTGACGAATCTTGAATGAGGCGATCAGCAGTCGTTGTTACTTCAAACTCTTCATCGTCGAATACTCGATAGACATGTGAGACATATTGCATTAATTGTTGATTGTCGATATCGATTTTAAATGCTTCTTTTTTTTCAGTGAATGGTGTCTTGATTATTATGGTTAGATTGTTGGTTGGATAGGACCAAAAGAAATTGACTTTAGTACATGATTTCGCAGTTTCAGTATCAGTCAAATCGACTATTGATGATTTGCAGTCTGTATTCACGCTCACTGTGACCGAGCATTTGTCGCTATACGTGTAAACTTGAGGAACACATGATTCGTCATCAGAGTTCACGAGTGGCCCACCATGAACGATTGCCACTATTGCCACCAACAACACAACGAAGACGGAGAGTGCAGACGACATAATATGTTAGTGAAAATAAGAAAGAATGAGAGATGATTACCTTGAATCGTATATTTTTTATAGTCGAGTGGAAGATGCACGTATGTAGAGGGTGATTGTAAGAGAATAATGAAAATAACAGGTGCACAAAGATTACATATGGCGCACAGAGTAGAGAGTGATCAAAGTTTGAAAAATTACTCTGTTTTTTTTATTTCGCTTGATCATGATGATCAACAATATTCCAATACAAAGTCAAACATCTAATCTCTTTTTTCCGTAAATGAATGAGACAGAAAGAAACACAATGGTGATTAGCAGCTTCTTTTTTCGCGAAGGAATAAAAAGTCATTTTCTCTTCGTTCGTCTCTTAATGTTTTAGGATGTGGGTGTGGGGGTGAGTATGGGTGTGGAAAGTGTGGGTGTAGGTATGGGTGTGGGTAGGCATGGATGTAGGGGGGTGTAGGTGTGTGGTGGATGTGGGTGCCATTATGAAGAGTAGATATCCACCCACACCCACCCTCTCGTTTTATTATATATAAATATGAAATACTCCGGATATGTGTATGATTAAAATTTTTAATTAATACTACTCGCAGAATACATCTATTTTATTGAACAAAGAACACAACAGTTTGGGTCGGGCAACTCAAGTTAAATGTGAGCCCAACCCAGTCCTGTTGATCCTTTTCGGTAATCTGGAATCTTTCTATGAACAAAATCATTGTGGATCGTTCAGGGTAGTCCGTTTTGAAGTCTGAAATAAATTACGAACAATAACAGTACATTTTGTATGAGCTTGCATCATAAAAATAACTAATGTGAAGAGGTTATTATAGTTATGGAAGAACGGTATTGTTGATTAAAGAAAAAAAGACAAATGAAAATATTCTAGTATAAAGGTATAACGAAAGCTATGAATTGCAATTAATCAAAGGCAAAATTAATCATGGCGATGTATGAGCAAACTCTATCTACAGTCGAGAACAAGATGATAAAGTGATATAAAATAATACTTCCGAAACTTAGTCACTAAATTGTATGCAATTTTCTTCAAAGGCCATTTATTTCAGTTGATATCTTCTGTAATACTAATATTTTCGTATTCTCATGATGTAATGTGACGTTAAATGTAATTTGAGAATTTATTAGGAAGGACAAGTGCATTCATTTATGCGTCAATTTAAAAGTTGTATCCATGGTTTCCTAGGTACTTAATAATAGCTTTCATCAAGATCAAACTGTTCATAGTCGCTTACATTTTCTACAACAATTAGATTCACTATCGAAATACAGAGAAATGAATAGTATTGTGACATGAAATACATTTTTAGAGATACATCAACCAAACGATCTATTTTATACACACTCTTCATCATTCTTATAAGAAGACAGTCGTGGTTAAGGATGATATTTGAAACGAAAAACAAATCATATCAAATTTTAAAATTCATTTATTCTGTTTATATGTTTAAAATGATTGATATAGTTCTGCACTGTTCAATACTATATAATTATCTCCACCAGCAATTAACACTTTTCCATTTGTTAATACGGATGCAGTGTGCAGATTTCGCGCAGAATTCATATTACCAGTAGTTGTCCAAATTTCTGTTGATGGATCATACAATTCAGCAGTATTTAAAAGACCAAATAGATTCTCTCCGCCAGTAACTAACACTTTTCCATTTGCTAATACGGACGCTGTGTGATAGTCTCGCGGATAATTCATGTTACCAGTAATTGTCCAAGTTCCAGTTGATGGATCATACAACTCACTACTATTTAGACGACCACTCTTTCCGAATCCACCAGTAACTAGGACTTTTCCATTTGCTAATACGGATGCAGTGTGCAGATTCCGTGCATAATTCATCTTACCAGTAATTGTCCAAATTTCTGTGGATGGGTCATACAACTCAGCACTATTGAGACCACCATGATCACTCAGTCCACCCGCAATTAACACTTTCCCATTTGTTAATAAAGATGCTGTGTGCCCATTTCGTGAATATTTCAGATTATCAGTAGTTGTCCAAGTTCCTGTTGATGGATCATACAACTCAGTGCTCTTTAGACCACCACCGCTTTCATTCATTCCACCGATAACTAATACTTTTCCATTGCTTAATAAGGATCCTGTGTGCCACTGTCGTCCATACTTCATAGGACCGGTAGTTATCCAAAGTCCAACTAATGGATCATACAACTCAGCACTATTGAGACTACCATTCTCACCCAGTCCACCAATAACTAATACTTTTCCACTTGTTAATACCGATGCTGTGTGCCCACTTCGTGGATATTTCAGACTATCAGTAGTTATCCAAGTTTCTGTTGACGGATCATATAACTCAGCACTATTTAGACGACCAGCACCACCCTCACCAAATCCACCAGTAACTAATACTTTTCCATTTGTTAATACGGATGCTGTATGCCATTCTCGTGCATAATTCATGCGACCAGTAGTTGTCCATCCTAGGTAGATATATTTCATTTGAAAGTAACATTTAGCAAGAGGCCAAAGAGTTAATCTGAAGCTTACGTGACTGCTGAGTTGTGGTTGTAGTTGTAGTGATCGTCGCTATGCATTAAAAGAAAACATTTACATAAACAAAACATACGTGTTAAAATCAAAAGTCGTTTCAACTATTCACTTCAAGTATTCAACTTTTCACGTTTCAACTATTCAAACGAGTTCCCATCTACGAGGGTGCAGAGACGGCAAATATAGAAAAGTTTCAGAAAAGTTAAAAACTCGAATCAAATTATTTACGACTTCCACACTACTGAGCCAAACCTGTGACGCTAAAATAGAAGACCAATACATGTTAAAAGAATGAAAAGTAAAAATTGATGCCATTTACCTAAGAAGAAGGACAACGAAATAACGAATTATATTTCTAATCATAGTTGATGTTGCAATGAAGCCATATTGTTCCAGTGTCTTTTTGTTTTATTTCTATCACATAGATGATATTTTAATCTACAACGTTCTAAAGGCTAATAGCGCACATTTTGATGCTTCACGAAGAAGAAACTTGATATTGCTGCTGACATACTTTAGCGATGATGTGAAAAAAATAATAATTTTCGTGGATTAAAAACTGTAATCAATATGTTGTGTACACATGATTTAAGGTTTTTATTATCATTCTAATGAATCATACGTTTGTCCTTGATTCTTGAATCAGACGCGTAATAATAAATGAAATATACGAGTTACAGTGCTTTCTAAAATCAATACTTAAAAAAAAACATTTTGATAGATATCTTTCATTTAATGGGTGTGGGTGTTAATCTTCCCTCCATTCATACCTACACTCCACACCCACACTCTGATAAAAATCGCTTTAATCAACTTTACAGTTA